TATAATCTGAACACATTTATTACATTCTTTTTTTTTTAAATGAATTTATTATGCTGACATCTATAACAATAAAAGGGTAATATGCTAATTAAACCAGACATCATCTGGTCGACCTTCCAGACATCCTTCCGGACAAAGCCATGGTGGCGGGGCCGAGGCAGAGGTGGTTAGGTGAGATCAGGTCAGCAGGGGAGAGCAGTTAGTGGGGATTAGGCGGGCAGGGGAGAGCAGTTAGGGGGATCAGGCCAGCAGGGGAGAGCAGTTAGGGGGATCAGGCTGGCAGGGGAGAGCAGTTAGGGGGATCAGGCTGGCAGGGGAGAGCAGTTAGGGGGATCAGGCTGGCAGGGGAGAGCAGTTAGGGGGATCAGGCTGGCAGGGGAGAGCAGTTAGGGGGATCAGGCTGGCAGGGGAGAGCAGTTAGGGGGATCAGGCTGGCAGGGGAGAGCAGTTAGGGGGATCAGTCCGGCAGTTGGGAGAAATCAGGGCAATCAGGCCAGCAGGGGAAAGCAGTTAGGGCGATCAGACCAGCACGGGAGAGCAGTTAGGAGGATCAGGCTGGCAAGGGAGAGCAGTTACGGGAATCAGGCCGGCTGGCAGGTGAGCGGTTAGGAGCCAGCAGTCCCGGATTGCGAAAGGGATGTCCAACTGCTGGTTGGGGCCCGGTCCCAGCAGTTGAACATCCCCTGAGGGGTCCTGGATTGGAGAGGGTGCACTCCAGGCTGAGGGACCCACCCCCATGCACGAATTTCGTGCACCAGGCCTCTAGTGATTAATAAAACCTTCTGTTTAGTGGCTTTTTATTGGCAGAAAAGACTTCTGTTTTCCTGTTTTCTATACTTATTTCTTAGCTATTCTGGCTCTAACTTTGCTATACTTCCTGTCATCCCTCCTTCACATGGTACTGGCCTGATGGTTATTTTCACTCATCTATACATATCTCCAGAAGACAAGGAGAGGTAAAACCCAAGACTTCTCACTGTCCTGTTAAGTTTATGAACTTCTAAGAAAACACAAAGGCTTGCCCTGGCTGGGTGGCTCATTTGATTGGAACATCACCCCATATACCAAAAGGTTGTGGGTTTGATTATCGATCAGGGCACATACCTAGGTTGTGGATCTAATCCCCAGTCAGAGCACATATGAGAGGCAACCAATTGACATTTCTCTCTCTCCCTCCCCCACCCTACCCCTGTCCTCTCTCTCTAACGTCAATAAACATATGCTCAGATGAAAATAAAAAAAGAAAACACAAAGGCTTGGATATATGTTAAACTGCTTTGATATCTAGTTATTCAATCTCATTCAATTCATGAAAATATGGACAAATTATAATGCCCTAAGATAAAAACTACCTTTTGTTGTTGTTAATCCTCACCTGAGGGTATTTTTCCCCATTGCTTTTTAAAGGGAGAGGGGGAGAGAAAAGAAGAGAGAAAAACATTGATGTGAGAGAGACATTTTGATAGGTTACCTCCTGCACAAACCGACCTGGGCAAAGGATCGAACCTGTAACCCAGGTACGTGCCCTTGACAGGGAAGTGAACCCAGGGACCTTCGGTGCCAAGGCCAATGCTCCAACTACTGAGATACACCAGCCAGGGCAAAACTATCTTTAAAAGTCACACAGCTATATGGAATCTCACTACACCTTATGAAATACTTTCAGATAGGCTGTTTCTTTGATCCTCAAAGTAATCTATGAGACAGGCAGATAAGGATCAATAACTTTATTACACAAAGAAAGCAACTGATGCCAGAAACAGTGGTGTCTGAATCCAGGTTTTCTGACTTCAGTCCCATGCTCATTTTATCATTTGTACACTGTCATCTAAACTAGCGGTTTCCAACCTTTCGCAGCTCACGGACCACCAGTGGTCCGCAGACCACCAGTTGGTGACTGCTGATCTAAACTATAGGTTCTTGCAGGTAAAGATAGTACTCTGAATCCCTCAGACACTTATCGTAGCCTAGTACTTGATACAAAAGGTGCTCAAACAGCGATGTACCTCATAGGATAAGATATGCTTACCACTGTCCCAACTTTTCTCAGACCCTTTCTTTTACCTAAATTTTCTATATTTTTAGGAAGGAAAAATAAGAAGGAAGGCAGGAAGGGGAAAGAAAAAAAGAAGGAATTAAAATAAAATGAGCTCGGCTGGTGTGGCTCAGTGGTTGAACATTAACCCATGAACCAGGAGATCACAGTCAGGACACATGCCCGTGTTGCCGGCTCAATCCCCAGTAGGGGACATGCAGGAGGCAGCCAATCAATGATTCTCTCTCATCACTATGTTTCTATCTCTCTCTTCCTCTCCCTTCTTCTCTGTGAAATTAATAAAAACATTTATTAAAGAATAATAAAATGAATTAAACTGGGTTTATTTTTAGGGTTTGATCATTGTATACTAAAAATTGAAAAGAACTGCCTGCCATCTTGAGAGTGGCACTAGTGGAATGGCAAGAATAAGATATCTGCACAGTGTAAACCTCACTAGAATATCTTTGCAAATTGTGGTGACTACCTAATGAATTCTACTTTATCACAGTGCAATGATGCACATAGCTGACAACACTCAGTTTCCTTGTCATCCTGATCTCCACTAAAAGTGTCCCTAGACTTTTGGGGATCTAATCCTTTTGAAGACTCTTACCCCTTCTGTTACTACTGGATGGTAAGAAAAAGTTTACTTGGCCACAGCTGTGATAAAATTATGCAAATTTTAGTCAGTTATTATATAATAGTGATAGCTAAAACTGGAGAACCACTAACTGGTTCTCTAATATTCATTGTATATAACAAGGGATTGTTTACATATTTGTAACTTTCAAAACTGACAATTATAATAATATTTAAGGAAATCCTCTTTCATTTTATAAGACTGAAACAGAATCAACTTTTTCCCTTAAGGTATATGTATATAAGGAAATATACTCAAATAAATCTCAAACCACCCTGACCCGTGTTGCCCAATGGTCAGAGCACTGGTCCATGCACCGAAAGATTGTGGGCTTGATTTCCGGTCAAGGGCACGTACCTGGGTTGCAATTTGATCCCCGGTCCTGGTCGGGGTGCATGGGGAAAACAAAAAATTGATGTGTCTCTCTCACATTTGATGTTTCTCTCTCTCTGTCTCTGTCTCTCTCTTTCTCCCCCACCCTCACTTCCACTTCCCCTAAAAAATCAATGGAAAGAATATCTTCGGGTGAGGATAAAAAGAAAAAGAAAGGAAATGTAAGAAATACAAACCTCATGGTGTTTCCAAAGAGACTTCCTATGGGACACAGTGAAGAGGGTGATGCCAACCTATTACAAAGAAAATGACTTATGTTTATAGCAATAACATAGATTACAATTTAAACCACTCTATATAGTTTAAGACAGCTGTTGCCAACCTTTTGGACCTCACGGACCACCAGTGGTCCGTGGACCACCGGTTGGCGACCGCTGGTTTAAGATATTAAGATGATGGTCTTCAGTAGCTATGGTTAAAAAATCAATGTCAAAGAGAAAAAAATTACAATTGATGTCAAATGTTCAAGGTAATACAAAGCATAGGCCATCAACCACATAATAAAAATGAACAGATATCAGTGAAGTTCTTTACGGGAGGAAAAAAACCTAAACTAACAGCATTATGTATTATTTTGTTTGGGGCAGAAAAATATATACCCTAGCACATTTTCTATTTATTGTGAAAAATACATGAAAAAAGTATAAGAATGATAGAAATAGCAAAAGGTCAAGATCAATTTGCTTTTTAAATAGAGTCATCATCCTTTCTGGAAAACCCTGTTTTGGAATTTCTCTTAGAATTCAGATTTTGGAAATGCAGTATTTACCAACCCCAGAGGGTCCTGGGACAAATTCTATAATTAAACACATAAATATTTCTATTGCAACACGTGTAGACACTGACAGTGAGATAGTTAAAGGAGTTTAAATACCTTTTGTTAGTTCAGACCAGGTTTGGCTACCCAGTGAGCTTGCCAGAAAATAATGAAAAATCTTTTGGTTTTAAAAAACTTACTGGATTTAGACTGCAAATAAGCTTCCACATATCTGAACTTCATATTTAAAAAAACAACAACACTAATTTAACTAATTGCTTTGGATCAGTGGTTCTCAACTAGGTGTTGGTGTATGCATGTGATTTTGTCTCTTAGAGGACATTTGGCAATGTCCATAAACACTTCAGACTGTCACAACTGAGCGTCTATTGACATTTAACAGGCAGAGGTTAAAGACACCGCCAAACAGCCTACGGTGCATCCCACAACTAAGAAATTATCCAGCCCAAAATGTCAACAGAGCTGAGACTGAGAAATCCTGTTCTACATCGTTGTTTGTACCCAGGAACTTTCCATCATGAGTTCTAAATCTTATTGTCATGTGATAAATTTTTTTGAAAATCAGCAGTAAGTATATTCTGGATCACTTCTATCATGAGATTTATGTGCCCACTGTTGGATTCACACATCTGCTGTATGAAGTGATAACGTAAAGTAATATCACTTAAAACTTTAAACGTCTTAAGTTTAGCTCTCTTATGGAAGGATTCTGAAATTCGTTAGGAACTGTAGGACAAAATAAGCAGATTATATATATATGCTTTTTAATATATATTATATATTTTTAAAAGTATGTTATATATATGCATTTCTAACAGGCTCTCAGGTGATTTGACGCCGATCCATGACCACACTGAGAGTAGCAGGAATTCATACTTCCTGTGCATCATGACCTTTTATATTTATTATTAGAAGCCGGGTGCACAAAAATTTGTGCACTCAGGGGGAGGGGAGTCCCTCAGCCTGGCCTGTGCCCTTTCGCAGTCTGGGACCCATCAGGAGATAACGACCTGCTGGCTTAGGCCCGCTCCCGGGTGGCAGAGGGCAGGTCCAATCCCTAGGTGCAGCCCCTGGTCGGGCTCAGAGCAGGGCCAATTGGGGAGTTGGGGCACCGACCCGTCATGCACAGAGCAGGGAGATTGGGAGGTTGTGATGCCACCCTCAGTCACGCTCAGGGTAGGGCCGATTGAGGGGTTGGGGCACTGTCCCCTGTCACACTCAAGGCAGGGTCGATGGGGAGGTTGCGGCGCCAACCCCTGTCACGCACAGAGCAGAGCCAATCAGGGGGTTGGGGCACTGCCCCCTGTCACTCACAGAGCAGGGCCAATCAGGGGGTTGGGGCGCTGCCCCCTGTCACACACAGAGCCGCAGGGCGATCAGGGGGTTTGGGCGCTGCCCCCTGTCACGCTGATCCCGGTGCTGGGAGGCATATTACCCTTTTACTATATAAGGTAGAGGTCTGGTGCACGGGTGGGTGCCGGCTGGTTTGCCCTGAAGGGTGTCCTGGATCAGGGGGGGGGTCCCCACTGGGGTGCCTGGCCAGTCTGGGTGAGGGGCTGCGGGCTGTTTTGAGGCTGGGGGGGACTGAAGCTCCCAACCGCTCCTTTTTTTCTTTTTTATTCTGGGCCAGCTTTAGCTTTGAGGCTTGGCTCCAGCTCTTAGACCTCCGCTGCTGAAAGTAGGTTTCTGGCCTTTGCTTACAATGTTGCAATCCTGCTGGCTGAAGTCCGGCGGTATTTGTTACATAGTGCTTAGAGTTGCAGCTCAGAGGCCTGCAGCGGCAGGCGGGGAACGTTGGAATCCTCCAGCACTGAAGCAAACAAGCCTCATGTTAGTTTCAAGCTGCCTGGCTGCCAGCCGCCATCCTGGCTGGCAGCTAATTTGCATATCGCCCTGATTAGCCAATGGGAAGGGTAGCGGCCGTACACCAATTACCATGTTTCTCTTTTATTAGATAGGATAAACTCCTAAAAAACAGCTACAAAATGTTAAAAGACTCTGTATTTCATTTATTTATGTAAATTCTTTTTGGATTTTGTTCCAAATTTTGTATAGATGGCAGTGATAATCTCTCACAGGAAAAAAACAACTGAGACTACTGAATAGAACAGAACCAATGTAGACAGCCCCAGAAAAGGCTACTAAAAGAAGCTTTGGTAAAATACTGCCTAGGCCAGGGGGAAAAAATGAATAAATTAAAGTTGCCAAATGATTACTGTTGCATTTTCTTGATTAAAAAAAACAAACAATCAAAAAAACACACACAGATCATATTTAGGTAAAGTTCATGGAACAAATTAAAAATATACCAGTTTATTAACTCTTAATATAGGCAATAAGGTAAAAGAAAAATAAGTTTAAATATATATTTTTGTTTCATATCTAAGATGTGGCTAAAGAGAATTATATACAGAATTCATTTACTTTTTCTTATATCTATAATCACCTTAAAGTCCTTGATAAAGCGAGATATCTCCCTTTGATAGTAATTTTGTTACTTAATAATTTAGAATCTTCTCTTTGGGTAGCTATTTGGTTGGACACAGAGTAAAGCAGGAAGGAGGACGTGGACCCTCACACTGCAAACCTGTCCACTTACCTCTCGACAGTGATTATAGATGTAGCCTTCCACGTCCACACTCACTGCGCTGGTGCACTCGTCCAAAATGGCAAACTGGGGTTTATGATAAAATAATCTTGCCATCTGAAGCAAAAAAATAATATTTTGTATAATCACATGCATAAGTTAATAAGCTAAAATAGATTTACTTTAAGTTAAGTATGTACTTACAGTCTTATAAAGCAAATATGAAAATTATTCTAACTCAAAAAAATATATTTCCCAGAAATTAAAGCAATGTGAATAAACCTAGTTGTTTCTATTATCTTCCTGAACAAAGAGAGAAATGTAATGCATAGGAAATATTGTTCAGAGTAAAACAAAACTTTCAGGACTGATATGAGGTGAAGTAGAGTTTCAACTAATATTAAAGAAAGTTCTCTACACAAGATTAAAGGGTACATATTTAAACCAAAAATCTTACAAGTCAGACTCATACGTGGCTCAGGTACAAAAATATGTCTACCTTTAAATGTTTTGTTGCTTAAGTAATGCCCATTAATATTACATTGTCAATATTAATATTGTTATCAATACTCCCACCAATAATTTTTTGTGCACCTGTTTCATCAGCTTGTTTGTTTTTTAAAGCCTTTGCTAATTTTGTAAGTAAAAATTAACATCAAGATTGTTAATAGCTTACATTTCTTCGATTAGCAGAAATGCTGAACATTTTCTCACGTTTATTTTCTATATGTGTTTTATTTTCTGGGAATTATTTATTCTGATCCTTTGCCTAACAAATGACTTCACAGGGCTGCTAGAAGAATTAAACAGGATCTGCCAGTCACAATCTACTTTTCCTCATCATTTTCCCAGTGCACTTTTTTGGTAGTTATATACTGCCTTGTATTAGAGTTAGTTGAGAATATTCGGATCTCCTAACACAGGAGTGGGGAGCCTTTTTTCTGCCAAAGACCATTTGGGTATTTATAACACCATTAGAGGCCTGGTGCACGAAATTCATGCAGGGGGGGGGGGCTCCTCAGCCCGGCCTGCACCCTCTCCCCACCATGGCTTTGTCCAAAAGGATGTCCGGAAGACATCTGGTTTATCCGGTCTAATTAGCATGTTACCCTTTTATTAGTATAGATTCTCGGGCCATACAAAAGCATCAACTTAACCCTTTGTACACCATAAGTGTCTATAGACGCAATTAAATTCAAAATATCATAGCTTGTGGGGATGGTTTCCATTTTGGACATGTGGCAGTTAACTGGTTAAAAATTAGCCTGTTTTGCCTTAGCCAGTTTGGCTCAGTGGATAGAGTGTTGGCCTGCAGACTGAAGGGTCTCAGATTCAATTCCAGTGAAGGGCACATGCCCAGGTTCTGGGCTCAATCCCCAGTAGGGGATGTGCAGAAGGCAGCCAATGATGATTCTCTCTCATCATTGATGTTTCTCTCTCTCTCTCTCCCTTTCCCTTCCTTTCTGAAACCAATAAAAATATATTTTAAAAAATTAGCCTGTTATGTTTGGTCAAACATTTAATTAACTCACCTCTAATGCCTTGGTAGGGCCAGACCAAATGATTTCATAGGCCCGAGGGCCACATGTTCCCCACCCATGTGCTAACTAGGTTATAAGGACAGACACTTGGATAATATTGAGCTCCATGGAAATTACACCATAATTAAATTAGGTTTCTTACTA